ACAGTATTTTTAGTCTTTATTTTACAGTTAAAACAAATTTTTATCAATTGAAGTCTAATGTTACAACTAAATGGGGATCCCTTTAAGCTACATAATACATTTGGACAAATCAAATGCTGCTGAAGTTGTAGCGATGACATCARATTATGACACATTATTGATGTTTCCCTGCCTGGTTGAAACCATATTTCTCCTGTCTGGTTCCTCTTACAGCTCCAGAGCCTCAGCCACAATGTGATCTTCACCCTGGACTCGCTGCTAAAGGGAGATCTGAAAGGCGTGAAAGGGGTGAGATTTACTGTTTCTCTTCCTCCTCTTTTTTTTTCCCGCCCTCTTCTCTCTCAGGACTCATTTGGGAGCGCACGCAAAGCCAGCATGTCTCTATCCATCTTTAAACTTCTGTGTCTGTGATTAAGAGTGCAAAGAATGACCGACTGGGGGAGTCGAGAAGAATTCTCCCTTTTAAACTGTAAATCTCGCACAAGTAAACAGTGCCTTTGTGTTGGGCTCGAGGCGAGCAACTGGGTCATGAACTCTTCGTGTTAGAGATACGAGAAGGGGCGTGGCCGCTGACCTGGCATTCAGGCCATGAATCGTGAGCAGAACAAGTTATTTTCTGGGCCTCAAGTGCCGATGCAAGTCCACAAATAACTCTGTCCTCAAACTGACCTCTTTGTAGTTTGCTGAGTCTTGTCTTCCTGTGTCTCTGCAGGACATAAAGAAGCCTTTTGACAAAGCGTGGAAGGACTACGAGGCCAAGTTGTAAGTGGATGAATATAAATTGAACATCCGAGTTACTGCTCACAGCCCTAAACACTGAAACGTAAAAACATACAAGTAGCTGACTCTTTTTTTTTTCCCTCCGCTCCTCCTTTGTGTCAGTACAAAGATAGAGAAGGAGAAGCGAGAGCACGCCAAGCAGCATGGGATGATCCGTACTGAAATCACCGGGGCTGAGATCGCAGAGGAGATGGAGAAGGAACGACGCTTGTTTCAACTCCAGATGTGCGAGGTGAGTATTTTTACACCTGGATTTAAATGCAGTCAGCTAAATTTTAGCGTTTTAACTTGATGCTGCCTGCTTGTTGTAAACTTGGCTTGTTGAGATTCTGAACTTCTGATCATAAACTAAAGTGATTCAGAGCATGAGTATCCTAATTTTTAAACATTATGTTATAGTATATGATTTTACCATTTGCCTAGAATGACTTGTCATATAGTCTTATTACAGCGTGTAATGTGGGGGCTTTTTTGGGAGCTTTTAAATAAATAAAACTTATTTTGCAGAATAAAGAAGTAGCACTTGTTTTATTTATTGTTATTACATCATGGCATTAAGTGGCTTAACAGAAAATACACAATGCCTTGAACAAAGAGGTTCAAAAAGTCACATAGAAAGTCTTTATTGTCCTTTTCGGGCTAAATTACATTTGCACAAAGTGCTAAAGTTTCTGTGACACCATGAATCTTAACATCAGCTTAACATGTTTTCAACAGTTTAATGAATTCATGAACATCATGGTTTGAAGGTTTCTGCTTATTAAAGTTTTTTAAGTTAATTTTCTGCTACTCCTACACACGAGTTGGTGTAAAATTCTGACCCTTGATCATAACCAGAGGCTGCAACTGCCTTGTTTATTATTAATATATATATTTTGCCACGCACTGTAAACATATGTAAAATAGATGACTGTCACTTTTGTTGGGAGGAATAGTTTTGGGGAATTCCGCTCCTTCAGCTGACTGACAGCTGACTGCAATAGATGGAGAAAGTGAAGCACCACTCTGTGCTGCATACAGTGTGACCTTTTAGTGGTTTTCACTCAGTGATTGTTAATAGTTGAAACAAAACTGGTCAGTGTCAAACTGCATCGAAGTTAGCTTTAAGATTAAGTTGGCTGATCCGTCGTGGACAATTTGAATAATTTGTGTAAAAGCTGCAACAACACCCGATCGTACAGCTGGACCCACTTTAGTTGACACGTATATAAGTTACCAGTCTGAGTTTGGACTGATTTTATGGCAGAAGATAAAATCTGAATCAAAATGATTATCAGAAGTTGTGTAATTGAACTTTTACAATAAATAAATAAATAAATATCTTATGTTCTTTGAGTTTTCAAAATATTCACCTCGTTGTGTAAGCTTGTAGTTGTTTTGTCACTCTGGTGCACAAAAAGGCTGAACTTTAAGAAACAGGACAGCAAGAATTAAGTATAAAACAAAAGTGAGCTGTGTGTGTGTGTGTGTGTGTGTGTGTGTGTGTGCGTGTGTGCGCGTGCGTGTGTGTGCGTGCGTGCGTGCGTGCTTGCCCATGAGAATCAGAACAAACTGTTAGAGCTCAACTCTGCTTCGCCAAAACCCTCTGTGGTGGTGGGCGGTGACGCCCACGGTTAGTTTACTGTTTTATCCTGGTAGGATTTTTCTTGTTCTTAGATTACATAATGCTGGCTGCATTACTTTTGGTTTTCTGGATAAATCACAATAAAACTCTGCAATCCCTTTTGCAAGCAGACCGACTGCTCTGTCCCACTTCTCAGAGGGACTCAAGTATTTTCTTGTCCACGTTTTTCACCTGACTCACAGAGCATGAACTGTCAGATTCTATTACTGCTGTTTTTGTTTTATTTTACTAAATAAGAAGGGGGAAGAATGCAAACAGTGGGGGAGAAAAAAAAAGCCTAAAGTCACATTATCGTCTGTGTGACTCTTAGTGAAGCTTTTTAGCATAAATTATCAGTAGTTTTGTAAACAGGACATCAGGAAAAGGACCAAAATGAAAAATTATCAGTTAGGATTTATGTTTCATTGGTTTTGGTTATAATTAAAGTTATAATTAAAAAAAACTATTCTTTTGCTAGTTTCAGTTGCTATTCTGCTTTGTTGGTATTTTAATGTTTGGAGATAGTATGAAAAGTTGATTATTTGCATTTATAAAAAAAGGTGTTTTTAGCTACAAATTTAAACCTGTAAGTTTTATCTTTTAAAAATAGAGGAAGTTACAAACAAGAGAAAGCAAGATTTGGGGTTTGAGGGTCAGTTGTAAAATATTGTATGCATTTTTAGCTGCAGCTTTTTATTTATTTGTCATTTCCCTGAAACGAACACTTCTTTTGCCTACTTTAACATTTACTGTAACACATCCTTGTATTTGAAGGTTTTGCATCATCTGACATTTTCAACAAGGTTCTTTGGTAAACATTCACTTCTGCGTAAACGACACATTTAAAAGGTTTTTAGCTGAAGTGACAGACTTGTTAAAAAACATCCTGAACTTTGGATTTTGACTGATATTTTCATGTCGTTCTGATGCAGATAACAGATTTTTCTTATGAGCAATTTGCAYCTTTCAGGAGTTTATTTTTTAATTGCGAACACAGAATTTCAGTTTTATTGCCAAAAAAATCAAACTAAAATAAACTTTGTATGATTATTTTTATACTTCACTGCTGATGGTTTCAATCTCTTTATTTTCTTGCGTTAACATTTTTGAAATGTTGGCAAAATGTCTTCCTTACTGTTTTATTAACGCTTTGTTATTTTCTTTTAATTTAACATGAATTTATAATTTAGTGAGATTCAGTTATTAATTGAGAGGCTTCCTCTTGTGATTTTTGTTTGCTGATCCAACACGGACTTCTCTTCACTTTTCCGTTTAAAGAATGGTTCTAAAATGTTTGAAGCAGCTTCATTTTTGCACAGTTTCTGGAGATCAAGCCATGAGGTTTCTGCATGATCTAGTTTTGCAGCCCACCTRCGTTTTGCTTTTGCCTGATGCCAAATACGAGTTGTAGCACCCACATCACATTAGCACTGGCTTCCTCTTTACGTTGTCTTCCTCACTTCAAGATCTGGTTTTAAATTTCGAATACTTTTTTTTTTTCTAACTTGAACTGTGTTCTCACTTCACTGCATCTCTGAGGATAAAATCAGCTTTGTGGTTTAGGCCACTTGTTTCTGGCTCCTCTTGACAGTTTGATGGCTTTGTAAGATTTAAGAATATTTTGTCTTAAAAAGCTTCGCGCTGTTTGAGAGGCAGAACAACTATTTATTAGGGCTCATTATTAGGATCTAAAACCATGTCTTTCGTTGCATAAAAGTGCTTACATAACTCTGGCTTTTGTAGGGGAATCATGAAAATTTCATGCTTGACTTAAAGCGATAATACATCTGCATTTGTTGCATCCTGTCCTATTAGATTATTTATCTGTAGTTTTGTCAGCAGAAATGCAAATATGAATTCACAGAAATGTGCATCAAATGTAATAAACGTCACATGTAGGTAGATTTATGTTTTTGTTTACAAGTCATTTCAATCTGGCTATTAAATTTTTTACGTTTGACCTAGTTTTCTCTCATGCCGTGGGAGATTTCTGTTATCTGTCTGTATATTGAAGCGCTTTGTTGATGTTGCAGCCAATAAAAATAGAGGAGCCGTAAGAATCACAAACACCAGACACTTCCTAAATCAACAGTCGTTAATGATGGATATATCAGTGCGACTGTTGTTGTTGTTGTGTGTGCTGCAGTCAGTGGTACAATCTGTTCATCCCACTTAACCTCATTTCTCTCCGTTGTGTGCACTCTGGCTCTCTCGCACTCTCTCTTCACGTTACTCAATCACCAGATTACCCGACGCTCTCACTCTCTCACCCCCTTTTTTTTCCCATCCCACACTGCCGGTGGAGGAGTGAGGAAAGGCAGGGCTCAGCGGGCTGCATTGTACTCTGCAGCAGTGTGAATGTGGCTGCTCATTCACACAAAAGGATTCACATGTGGCGGCGCACTCTAATAACACTGAACCCACTCAAGCTTTAGACAAAATGTGGATAATCTGCTGTCCGTAAAGCTCTGTCAGGCAGACAAAAGGACTACACATGCGTGCATGTTCACGTGTGACACGTTTACTCGTATGTTAACTCGCATGCATCAACACACACTCAAAAACAAAAAAAAAAGACACAAAAACTGAATACAGGCATCAGAGGCAAATAAAGAAACGACTGCAGGGTCAAAATGGGTCTTTATTTTACTTTGACTCTTTGTAAATCTGTGTGGATTGACTCYCTGTAGGATTAGCTGAAGATTATCCTTTGTTTGTTTGGTTGAGAGCGCTGTCTGAAGATATTTGTCTCGAGTCTTCAGACATCCAGACTGCTAATAAACACTAAAAAGCTCCTCTTTTGATGGATCCTCGTCACTGTTTTCAAATTTGTTTAGACAAAGTCGAGGGATTGCACTTCTTGCTCCTGATCAACAAAGTGTTCACCAGTACATCAAAGGTTTCATGAYTCAGACTCACACTTATAAATTGTTCCTATTATGAGTCTTCTCTACTTGTGTAAATCTGCTGCTTACTTGTAATTTCTTTCACTTCTAAAAACCCTTTTAACATCCCCAGAATTTCACCCCAGTTGAACCCTGCTCCTCTCCTCTGCTTGCAGTACCTGATCAAAGTAAATGAGATCAAGACCAAGAAAGGAGTGGACCTCCTGCAGAACCTGATTAAGTATTACCARGCACAGTGCAAGTAAGTACCACCATAATCTGCCTAACCCAAATGTGCAAAGCTCCCCTGGCGCATACTCCCTAAGAAATGTTTCACAATGTAAAATAGGAAGAAAAAAAAACTGCCTCTCCCCTCCTCCTGCAGCAGTTTGATGTCAGATTTCTCCCATACGTTTCACAAATCTCGAGGGTTGCTCGGTCGCACAGTTCTCATAAATCTGCACAGGTCATCATAAAGAAACGTTCTGACAGCCYCAGGGTTTGGTGGGTAAATAAAGTGGGTGCTGTCCTCGCCAGAACCGCAGCTGTGACAGAATGACAGATTTTCTTCCAGCGTTGCTATGTCCTGTCACAACACTGGGACAAAACAATACACTTCACCGCTAATCTCTTCAACCTGGGTCCTGACGGATAGAAAGGCTGCAGCCATGATGGATTAGAAARATTAGGGCACCGGATGAAGAGCTGAGGAAAGCATACGACTGCTCGAAGCTCGAGAAGAAAGGGAATTTGTGTTCTCTGTTATGAAACTCGCAGATGCGAAGCATGATCATGTGTTTGCTATTACTGATGTTGATCAAGCATGATGGCTGTAATGTAGCTTCAAATGACCTTTGTTAAACTGGCTTTTGTGCATTAAGATGGAACTTAAATTGGCTATGAATCATCTGAGCATGTATGTAGGTTTCCTCACTTCATTAGTTGTTTTTGAAAGATTCCCCGCTGATCGTCTGATCACAGCACAACCTTTTATTTTTTTATGGAAGCTTCATTTCAATAACTATATGGCACGCACATTTCAACCAATCAATTACAGAGATTGCTATAARATTGCTTAAATACCTAACAACTAATAATATAATATTTCACGTGAAAAACAAGCCTGACCAGTTCTGACCAATCACAAGCTGTGAGCTGCAAGGTCTGCAAGACAGAGTTCTGATTGGGGGTGATGCACACAACAGGTGTCACCAGGGGWCAACTGATGAAAGTTATGCAATTTTTTTGTCACTGAACAGGGTGAGCAAGACGTGCAACTTGAACTATAAACTASCCTTAAAGAGCTGTCGAAGGATGTCAGAGACAAMAATGTAGATGTGTACATGGCTGGACTGAGCAACAGGACAAGAAGCTTAGTGAATGTCTGTTTTACTTGGTCTGAAGCTCTATGCAAGATCTTTCCTCGTGGTGTGAGGATGATCATGAGCGAGATGAGGAATGAGCCCACGACTGCACAGGAGGAACTTGTTAATGTTGGCAGTAAAAAAAAATTGAACAAGGATCTTCTTTCCTCAGCCAGACTCATCCATGGACCGTGAAAGGATCTTCTAGCATCACAATGACCCCCTAAGCAAACTGCTAAGTCAACAATTTAGGGTTGCACCGATTCCAACTTTCATGCTGATCTCTGATCTTTAAAAAGTCTGACCTGCCGATTCCGATTTTTAAAATAGCTGACATTATCAGATGTTAAAAAGTCAAGATAAAACTTCAACGTTCAAATGTTATTTTACTGAAATACTTTAAACAATACCCTTGAAACAATACAAACCTGTTTTAACTGGATCTTAGGTAGTGCTCAGAGCAAAGCAGAAGAGAATAGTGGCTGATTTTCAGACCTTTGTGGAGGTAGAAAGGCCGATCTTCTCCACCCATCTTATCTAAGAATCTGCAGATCTCAGATCTCCCAAAAGTAAGAAAATCTGCACCCCTACAATGAATGATTGGCTGAAAATGGGGCARATTAGGTCATGGAGTGGCCTAGCCCATCTCCAGTCTTAAAGAAAATCTATGGAGGGAGCTGGAYTTTTAAGTTACCAAGCAGCAGCCAAGAAATCTAAAGGATTTAGAAAGTTTCTGTAAAGAGGAGTGGGTCAAACTTTCTCTCGYCGTGCACAAAAAGAGACACTTTTTATTGCTTTGCTTGCCACCAAAGTCCACCAWATACTAAGGCATGTTTATCCTGGGAAACATAAAACTTAATGAACTGGCTWAAAATTAGAGATCAGTCCGCATCAGATCAACATTAGCAGGAGATCAAATTATCTCTGCTCTCATCTTAATTCTTAATTCTGATGCAAAACAAATCTATCAAAATATAAACAATGTTTGGAAAAGCCTTTAAAAACCACYGCCAAACAAAATGTAACGGTGTCTGTAATTTCCATAAACTGCTCCCATGTTTTTTTCTGATTCTTCAGAGGACTCCTTGTAATGAGTCAGCGAAGCTTTTGCTGAGTCATTTATTTATCTTTAGTCCTCACGTARACCTGCTCATACCTCCTCTTCATGAGCCTTCATCGGCTCGCTGTACTCCGCTGTGTACCGTGTGTTGTTCACACTAAAAACTTATACAGGTGTTTCAGTGGATGGTTATGACCTGACAGCTCTGTTTTACATGTTCCGTCATATCTTCAACAAAAGTGACAAACGATTGTGAWGAAAAGTATTCAGAGACTTTATATGCATAATATCAAGAGAGATGAACCTTTTTCTCTACCTGCAGTAAAAAAAACCCTGTATATTCTGACACTTTGCTGGGTAAGCAGAGCTCGACAAGCAGAGCTAGGCGGAGTGGGAGGAGACGTGTGGGATCATCGATGCAGTGATTGAAAGAAAACGAGCTGAACACGACGCAGCAGTGAAAGTAATGAAGAGGAAGGGAGACGCTCCTTCCAAGAAGGCAGAGGGAGGGGAGGAGAGGAGGAGGTTATTAGTGGTGATTTGCTGCTGTAGAGCTTCATCGAGGTGTGTATCGCTGACAGATCTGTAATGGATTTCAGGATGTGCTAAATACCTCTACAAATTTGCCACGGAGCGGGCCAGATCTGAATTCAGTCCCAAAAGCCAAAGGTGCCCAGGCGTGAGAACGAGCTGAGCTGTACATTAAACAAATACTCATCTCCCTTTTTTTGAGTTCGACCTTTAGAAAGGCCAACAGGATCACACTGCAGCACATGACATTTCTTAAGCAATACTTCTTATAAATGGCTGATCTGTGTTTGAAGGTTGTAATTCTCACGTATCTTTGCTTTCCAGTTTCTTCCAAGATGGCTTGAAGACAGCAGATAAGCTGAAGCAGTACATCGAGAAGCTGGCAGCTGACCTCTACAATGTAAATACTTCRTTTCTTTTAGTTTCTTGCTCAGTATGGTCTGATTTTCCTAAGCCTAACCCTGCATCAAATATGTGAAAAACTTCCAAAACAAATGTAGGCACAGGGAAAGGGGTGCAGTATGGGTGATTTGTGTGTCGCACCGTGTGTTGTGGAAATATTTATTTAACATGAAGCAGAAATGCATGATCCAAAGAAGTCACTTGGTAGAGTTGAAGAAAATTATTGGGGTTTATGCTGCTTACTGATTTAATTACATTACACATAGTATGAGTTGTTTTATGATAGAACTGTAATGACTGTTAAATGTGACTTTTGATGAACTTGATGATTATATATTAACAGATACATGCCTGATAACAAATACAACACATATTGAACTTTTAATCATTAGGATAGATTTCTTTGTAAGAGGGCAAGGCTCTGACAAGGATAGCCCCCCCCCCCTTCACAGATGATGTAATCAATATAGGCGGAGCCATGCCCTGAAGCTTTTGATAAAACTTCTTGGTATTTCCTGATTCTGCCTGATTTCCTGGTTCTCCATTAAACCAGTTATCAGTGAGAGCGCTCTCGTTTCTGTATGGTTTTCTTTAACATTCTCATCGCATTTGCACATTCTCAATATGATTTTGAACACATCTTGGTAACGAACACGAAATAACGTCGATTTCTTTTTATTCATTTTATTGTTTATTGC